CTTGGCGGCACCAGTGACGCCAACAAAATGGCCGCCGCGGTGCCCTCAGGGCCAGATCTGGTTATGGCTGGGCCCAACCAAGTGATTGTGGGGTTAATTGGGCTAATTGAGGTGAATTAATTCAGGCCAGTTGAGTGAATTGAGGTTAATTTGGGTTATGTCCAGGGCAGTGCTGCAGTCCCCATCCCTGGAGGGGTTCACAAACCCTGTAGATGTGGCACTTGGGGCCGTGGTTTAGTGGCCACGGTGAGGTTGGGTTGGTGGTTGGATTTGGTGATTGTGGAGGTCTCTCCCAACCTCAATGATGCTGTGACTCTGTTTTCCCAATCCTCTCTTTAACCCGGTCCCTCACTGATCAGAGCCTGTGCCAGATCCTGGAGGCTTCGGTCAACATCGGCAGCCGCAGCCTTGACGTGCAGCTGGACGCTCTCCTGGGCACCCTGCACCCCCAGGTAAGAGTTTGGAGGGTGCTGGGGACTGAGGTGGATGTTTTGGGAGCTGTTAACTCCCTAAGTGTGGTCTGCAGGGCTGAAGGCTTCCCTTGGCTCAGCCTGAGATCCAAAATAATCCATTTTCTGTCTCCCTGAGGCTCTCAGCTTCTCCTCTGCTCCCCAGTGGTGCTGACCGCTCTCGGTATCTGCTCTATTGAAAGACCCACATGTGCAGTGGTGTTGTCCGAAGTGAGCGCAGTTCTGGCTGCCCAATCCTGCAGCAGATGGGACACAAACACCCCAAAACCAAAGAACCTTTGAAATTGCTTTAGAGCACAAGCAAGGGCGTTGACTCCGAGCCCGAACTCCTCCTCAGCCGCGGGGGTGTGAGGTCTGTTGTGTTGCCAACCTCCTTTATTTTAAGACTAAACTGTCTACGAGTCTTGGAAGCGTCCAGCCAAGGGGCTGACCTTTAAAATACAGATTTACCTAAGTGATACCTAACAACTAGAAACAATAACAGGGATGTCTGTAGGAACAGCTTCTTGATGTCAGGCTTCAGGGCAGCACTGGGATGGCTCCGGGGTGACTCTAGGGCTGTGGGATGTGGCTTCCCACAACAGCTCTGGCTCAGTTGCAGGCCCAGTTCAGGAAGGACAAGGAGCAAATGGAGAGAGCGCAGTGCAGAGCCATGGGATACTGGGGGGACTGAAGCATCCCCCAGAGGAGGAAAGGCAGAGAGAGGTGGAGCTGTTCAGCTGGAGCACAGGAGATGAGGGGTCATTAATGCTGAGAAATTAATTGTAAATTAACGCTCATCAGTATCTCAAGGGATCTCCTTGATCTCATCAGTATCTCAAGGGATCTCACTGATCTCATCAGTATCTCAAGGGATCTCATTGATCTCATCAATATCTCAAAGGGTCAGGATGTGTCCAGACTCTGCTGGGTTGTGCCCAGCGCCAGGACAAGGGGCAACGGGCACAAAGTGGGACCCGGGAGGTTCAAGCTCAGCAGAGGAAAAACTTCTTGGTGGGAGGGTGCAGAGCATGGCCCAGGCTGCCCAGAGAGGTTGTGGAGTCTCCTTCTCTGCAGACACCCAAAGCCCTGGCCGTGTTCCTGTGTGACTGCTCTGGTGACCCTGCTCTGGGGGATCTCCTTCCATCCCACCATGCTGGGATTCTGTAATTTAACCCACAGTGGGCATAGGCAGGGCTCTGCTTGACCAGCACCACTCTGGGCACCCGTGTCGGGTGACACTGTCTCCCTCTCCAGGGCTGGCTCTGCCAGCGCTTGTTCTGGGTGCCGTCCCTGACTGTAGCTGTTTCTCCCACAGATCTGTGCTCCTGCCGATCCAGCTGTGCCCCTGACTGTTAAGAACCACACCGAGGTTCTTCGCTGCTTCACCGTGCTGGGTAAGGGACCTCATGGCCTGCGTGCGAGCCGAGGTCCGAGTGTCACCGTGGCGCCTGGTTTTCCAGGTGTTTCAGGGTCTTCCCCAAGGAGCTGCGCATGGTAGATGCGGGGTTTGTTCCCCCTGGGTTTTGGGTAATGTTCCTGAGCCATGGAGGGAGGGGAGTTGATGGTGATTTCTGTACTGGTTTTAGCCCATGGTCTCTACCTTGCAGCGCTGTGTGTCCCTAAAGCTGACACTCGGGGCCAGTGTCCCTCTGGTTTGGCTTTGGGTATTCTCCTCCTGCTGTTTTCCCTCTCCTTCCCCATTTTGCCCTCTCTTCCTGCCATTTTGCCTTCTCTTCCCGCCATTTTGCCCTTTCTTCCCCCAATTTTGGCTCTCCTCCCCAATTTCGACTGTGGCACAGACAGCGGCGTTGGCGGTTGCCAGGAAAAGAGCAGTGCTGTGGGTGCTGTCCCAATATTGCCCATGTTCTTCATGGCAAACCCATCCCCAAACACGCCTCCCGAATGCCCACGGGTGTTGCTCCCATTTCAGCAGCCCTAGACCAGTTTTATTCTTAACAATCAAAATATTTTGACAAGACAGGGCGGTGCTGGCTGGAAGGGATAATTTAAACTCCTTCGGCTCCCCAGAGAACGCAGGAAATGTGTTGAAAATGCTAGAAAAAAGCTCAGATTTGGATGTCAAGAGGGGGACGAAGCAGGCAATAAGTGATGGGATGAAAAGAAATGGCCTCGAGTTGTGCCAGGGGAGGGGGAGGGTGGATTTGGGGGGAAATTTCTTCCCCCAAGGGTTCTCAGGGCCTGGCAGGGGCTGCCCCGGGCAGTGGTGGAGGCCCCAGCCCTG